TGCAAGTTAATATAAATTTTAATTTTATGTGCCATACCAAACATTTATAGCAACTATTATATAATTTGGATGTGGTAATTGATTGTTTACAAAATATAATAAATTATGGTTACTATAACACTTTTAATTATAGGTCAAAGTTTATTCTCTTTGTATCATCTGCATTTATCTTTTCTTCAACAATTACGTAAACAAAATCTGCATATATGAATTTATATATAAACTTTTCATTTCTCCTACTTGGAGAAAAGCAATCGATCTAAAGAAGAAAATGAAGATTGACTTATTTGTTGAAGTAGGAGAAATGAAAATTTTCCATTAGATAAAACTCTAGGTCTAAGGTTTCCTTTGCAAATATAAAAGAGGGTCTTGGCACTGTGTTGCCGTTTAACACACAGAGATCTTTTAGCAATAAAAGTTTTGTAAGTCCGGAAAAAGAGAGGCAAAGCATCTAGGGATTAGGAGCTTAAGTGGTTCAGAGACTGTCGTAGGTCTGTGAACATGAAAGGCTAGTCAATATGTCAAAGTTTTTCTTGAGCTTGATTGAAAGATTTCTTTTAGAAAGAACTTGTATGTACTTTTAAAAGGATCAATCTAGTCGAATTTCTTGGAAAGAAATTCGTGTAGTTTGTGTAGCTCATTTATCTTACATTAACAATTTGGTATATAACATTACCATCATAAGAAAAATTCTTGTCTGAAATTTTCATAAGTTGATCATAATCTCGGAATCTGGATTTCTCGTAATTTATTTATACAGCTTTTCTCATATCAGCGTTATTGATGAATTTGCATTCAACCATATATTAAAAGAATGGTCTGAAATTTTATATCGTTGAAGATATAAAATTGATGAAAGTTGATGAAAGTGCCTTCCCTACTTCAACCTGCCTTCCCTACTTCAAAATCGTTGAAGATATATATTTTTCCTTCCAAAACTCCAGAGAAAATTGATGAAAGTGACGAGCATAGATTGATCTCATAGTGGTTGAATCCTATATTTCACTAGATTGCCAAAATTCTTTGAAAGTTTCATATTTTATGTTTAACTAAAACATATCTTTCGCCCATGGTGGTAGAAAAATCACCAACTATTAAGTCATCTATGTCATTAGCAGAGGACAATTCATATTACCTTTTCCTTTGATCATATCCTAACATATAAATTTTCATTTCCGCATTATTTACCACTTTCATATTTATCCACTACAAGAAATCTGGGATTTAATAGCAGGTTAGTATAGCATTTTTTTCAGTTGAGCTATGGTTGATATACTTTAGGTTTTAACATAGCGTTTGTATATTTCAAAATGCTGTGCTAGATTGTCGATGTTCAAATAAAATATCAGCGTATGCTTTTTAAGAAACACGCTTATATGTTATAGCAAAACATCATTCTAAAAGCTATGTTAGAGTTCCACGGTTCAAAGGCCTGCCACACTTAGAAAAAAAAATTACGTTCTAAAATTTTTTAGCCTCCAAAAACAATTCCCCCAAATTTTCAGACCTAAAATTTCATGTTCTTCCCTCTCTTTCTTCTTTGGCTCCATTTTAGTCGATACTCTCAATCTCTGTGTTTTTTCACTCTCTCCATAAGAAATATCATTCTCATTCCTAATTCCTAATTCCTAATTCCTAAGCTCGTACCTTTAGGCACCCCCAATCGGTGAAACCCCAAAATCCATTCTTTAGAAAATCGATTCTGAATCAGTCGAAGGTGAACTTGAGTCATCATTTCTTACAAATCCATTCCACAAAAAAATCTTTTTATCTCTTCATTTGTTATGATATTGGGTTAGTGCATGTTGAATTGAATCGTTTATGTTTACACTTTTGCAGAGAGATTCCGTTGAGATATTTATCTAAAGGTACTTCCGATTTGATTGTCTGGGTTTATTGTTTCACCTTTGATTTTGGTTATAATGTGGAAACGAAGAAGACAAAGGAAGAGGACGACGGCTCAGATCCCGAGCTTCTCTGCCATATGACGTCCATTGCTTCTAACCTGTATAGATGTTCTTCACCTCGAAACCCTAGCATATATGAATTGTTGTAGCTGTGTTTCTCATCTGATTGCTCGTGAATCTTTTGGTGGCAGATGATGTTAAGTTTCTGCAAAGTTAGTTTCATTGCAAAATTAAAGGGTTTTTTTTTATCTTTTTCTTTGTTTTAGGTTTGAGCTGTAAGTGATGAAGATGTTAAACGTTCGTGTTTGTTGGATCAAATAGAACTTGAATTTTGTCTCTGTGTTTGCAAGAAAAGGTGATTTTTATTTGTCTGTATACTATAGAAAAAGCCAATATGCCTAAGAAATTGTGGGAGAGGGTGAAGCTGCCTAGGAACTACGAGAAAGCCCTTGAAACCATTGACAAGCACTTGGTAAGTGAGCTCACCGTGTACATATATTGATGCAACAAGAGGAAGTTTTATTCTGTTTATTTTTCTTGTGTGTGTGTGTGGTAGTTTTACTAGCCTAAGTTATTACAGCACAAGATCAAAAAAAGACTGACTAAAATGACTCATATGTGTATTCAAATGAGAAAACTTGCTCTTAAGACAAGGTTGGTCTTCTTTCATAAGCTGTTTGGTACTAGTTATGACTCATATGTGACTTTTTCAACTGCAGACGGAGCCTTAGATGCAGCTCCTGCGGTGAGATTTTATTCCCAAAACAGTCTTGTGATTATATTTTCTGGGACAGAGTAAACAGTCTTGTGACAGAGGCGCTACAGTTATGGAAAAAGGTTTCTGGAAAATGTGTAGATGGTGCTGCAGATGAGTCAAAAGGGAGGCATCCGATGGTTCAATAGTCTCACCGGATTCTACTTCTAAAGCAAAAGGAGACCTGCCCCAGTGTCTCGCAAGAAGAACAGAACATGGACAAGGGTTCATTGGCTCAGAAAATTAATACAGAACACAAAACAGAACATGGAGGAGTTGATGGAGACTATTGTGAAAATTCTTTTGCAAGTTTTGAAGTTATGTACTAGGTTGAGTTAGTATTAGACTTGGTATGTATTTTTGGATAAGTTATGCTATAAAAATGATGTATTTTTGGATAATTTATGGAATATAAAGTTATATATATATGAAATTTTAATGAAATGCAATTAGAAATGAAACCCTAAACCACAAACTTATACCCTAAATGTGTAAATTTGTAAGCAAATTTTGATGATTTGCAAATTAAAAAAAATGAAACCCTAAACCACAAACTTATACCCTAAATATAATACCCTAAACCCAAACTTAATTCCGATATACAAAGTCATAAATCTAATCTTTTTAAACTTATTATAAAAATTTAAAACTAAAACTCCAAATATATTCCCAAACTTAAACCATATACTAAATTCTAAATCTTATCAAAACCCTAAACCACATGCCTCATACTAACATATTTCATAAGATTATAATTCTTTTATACATAAATCTTCAATTTTAAAAATTTTAATTCTAGAATTTAAACCCCTTAACAAAATTTTAGTAGAAACTAATCTCTTTGAAGTTTCTTCTTGTATTAAAGTCTTAGTATATATATAATTATAGAATTTAAACCCCTAAACAAAATTTTTAAAACTTCAATCTTAAAATTAAACTCAAAATTTAATAAAGTTAAAAGTTAAATCTCAAATTTATATAAACCTCAACATATACACCTAGCCCTACTTATAACTCCAAACCCTATATCATATTCCAAACTCTATACAAGAATTACTAAATCATAACATTTAATATTTATAACATTTATTTTATACTAAATGATGAATAAATACAAAATCATAAAGCCAATCTTAAATAAACCTTATAACTACTCATACACTAAATCTTTAAATCCACACCCTATATCTAATACCCTGTACCCCAAACTTAAACTCTAAATACAAAATTATAAATCCAATTTTTACGAACTTGTAATATAAACTTTAAATTTAAGCTTCAAATATATTTTTAAACTCAAATCATATACTTAATTTTAAATTGTAACCCTAACCCCTAAACCACATATCTCATTTTAACATATATCATAAAACATTAAATCTTAATTTTTAAATAAATAATAATTTTGTAAATAAATAAAAAATTTCAAATACATAATATAGATTTTAAATTTAAAATTTTAAATTATCATATCAAAATATTTAAAGCTTAATAATTTTTATATTAGTTATAAACAAAATTAGAAGACAATTTGTATTGTTTTTTCTAAACCATTGATTGATTAGAATCAAAGGCCCAAAATCACTCTTGTATCAATCCTCACCCTTTTTTCCTATTGGTTAGTTGTTGTTTATGGTATGGATTACAATCTGCACCCTTGGACAATATTGAATGAACGGTTGAGATTGATTATTGTTTTTATTCTTTTTTTAATTAATTTTTCTCAGATCTACGACAGAAGGAAGAAGAGAGAGAGAGAGAGAGAAGAGATGTAGTTCAAGGTAGAGAAAGGAGAAGACGTGACAGCTGGTCGTCACCACCATCATCACCATCTCTCCCATCCCCCATCGCTCGTCACCACCACCATTTCTCAGACCCGTCTTCACCGGAGTCGCCACCGCAACCGTCACAGTCCTCACAACCACCATCGCTCGTTACCACCACCATCACATTCAGAGGCTGTCTCATAGGAAACAACAATGATCCATTTTGTGTGTCTTTGTGTTGTGGTTAGTCTCTCTCCCATCTCTATGTTTGGTTCTGTCTTCATACAGATCCTCATATTGTTTACGAAGAAATAGTGTAAATGAGGGATCCAAAGTCTCAAGCTTTATTCTTATGGGTACAGACATGTGTTTGATTTGAGAACATAATGTTAGGGTTGGCTAGTAATAGAGTAATATTGGTTTACTAGTTATACACACATCGAAATCAGACATGTGTTTACCAGCAGTACATCGAAATCAGACAGAAGATGGATTGGTTTTATAAATAATTATCTACATGTGTTTACCAGCAACACAGCAGGGATTGGTGGAAGCAATGGCACAACAACGACGATGAGATATCAAACCAACGATGGAACAGCAACTGCATCTGAAGATTCAAAGGAGAATCTGAACCGAGTCATAAACTCGATTCAGAAAACTTTGGGACTCCTTCATCAGCTTCACCTTACTGTCTCTTCTTTCACTCCCGCTTCTCAGCTTCATCTCCTCCAGCGTCTGTACTATCACTTCTCTGTTTCTTTAAAGATTATAGTTTTATGTATCTGAATGAGAATGTCTTGTGTGTGTGTGTTTTTTTGCAGAAACTCTCTAGTGACGGAGCTGAATAGCATGGTGAAGTTGTCTGAGAAATGCAACATTCAAGTCCCCATTTTCGAAATCATACATGGAAAAGTACAACTCTCTCCGCTTCTTTTGTTGCCCATTTTTATTTTTCTTATTCTAACAATAAGGAGCTCTAACCGCAAATCAGACATGTGTTTAAACTTTTTGCTCGTTTTTGTTATTGGTTTACTAGGGAGTAGGCCCTTAATTCAATACTCAGACTTGTTTGGGATTTATTGTTAGTGTCCAAGCATTTTTTGTTTTTTATTTTCCTCTAAGATAGTAGTAGCAGCAGCTAATCATGCCTTCTTAATAACCCATCTCCATGGCTTGATCATGTTGAGTTCTCTTCGCTATTCTCCAACATAATTTGTTGTTAGTGTAATACGTGTTTAATGTAAGCACATTTGGTCTTGCTACTTGGGATATGTTATTTTGAGATGTGTCATTGTTGGAGTTACTGTTAACTAATATGTGTTATCTTGGTGTAGGTGGGCAAGGCGCTGTGTCATAATAGTCCTAGCTTTTTTTAACTCTGCTTACTTTTGATATCTGAGAGTGTTTTTGGTTTGGGATCCGACTGAAGGGAAGGGATGGATATAGTCAGAGCTTTGCTCAGTAAGTTACGTACAAACAATTCTTATGTAGGTCTATCCATATGTGGTGCTTATTATTACTTACATACATGTTTTAATAACGTAGTGCCTTTTCTACTTTGCAGAAGAAATAATCAAAGGATTCTCCACTGTCTCAGGAAACCAACCAAGATCCACTCTCTTGAAGAAATATTGAGAGTCAATGACAAGTACCAGTTCAAGAACCACTTAATCGTAATGAAGATATTGGGCGATGAAGCTTCTGATGATGATAGTGTTTATGTTAGGGATAACTGTGAAGTTTTATTAGTGGTAGATTTATAGTTTTTATGTTTGTGTTGTGGTTTGTATGAACAAGATGTTTATCTTATGGAATTTTTCAATAAATTTAATTGTTTTATTTTTCGAATTAAGTATTATATTTAAAAAAATAAAATCAATTCGTAATTAATATTAATAAAGTTTCGAATAATTTTATTAAAAAATAATAGCACGAAATATTTTGCTATCTTTCCTATTGGAAAAATCTAATTAATATGTTTATAATATCATTTTCGAGACGCTATAATAAAATATTACAATTGCATAACGCGAAGCGCTATTAATAATTAAATATCAATAGCAAACTGGAAAAGCGCTATGCAATGTACGAGACCTATTGTCGCGGGCGATGTTGGAGCGCTTTCTACAACGCTATGGTATCGTATGATAGCGCTTTACGGGTGCTATTAAAACCCTTATTTCTTGTAGTGATCTCTAACTTTTCTAAATATTTTTTTAGTACATTATTTTCGTCAAGCATTTTTATTAGTGATGATAATATTTGTGTATCTACTGATTCTTTTCTTTCTCTGTTCATGATTGGAAGTTTGTTTTTTTCATTGGAATTGTCAATGATATCACTCAAATTACCCTAAGGAGTAAATTACTCTCTCGAATAAGGGGTTCAATTGTAGTACTTAGGGATCGAATCCACAAGGAACTAAGGAACACAAAAGATATAATCCTAAGTGACTATGCTAGGTTGATTTAGGTTTAAAGTAAATTTCAGTTGGGACTTGTGAGCAATGGTGAGTTGCTCAAGAGAGTTTGGTTTATGTTTTAAACAATAAAAGAAAGTAGTTAGATTCAAAGTTACTATTCAGATAATCAATATTATAATGCTATAGATGTCTTTATAAGTTGCTTACAAGATATTAAAGAACTTCAATTCTTAGATAAATCTATAGCTATCGCTATTAGACTCGTCCATTGATCTGACTGCTGGCAATATCGACCGATGGTATAATCGCCATATCGGACGATATAGATAGCCGTCGATCTATTACTCTATAGGAGTATCGATCGATAAAGCTTCAGATCAAATTGAATATGTGTTCACCAAGATCATAGACCGGCTCTCGCATCGTCCCAGAGGATCTCAGCTTATACCAGATGATTTCAGGATGATGATTAACAAGTTAAATCATTCCATGATCATACTCTAATTAGCTACTCTAGAGTAAGCATTAGGGTTCATCAGGATAATGAACATCACAACTCAACAATCCATAGTTGGGGTTAATCCCTCATAACTATTTGAACCCTAAATCTAACAAGTGAATCTACTCAGACATGGCTAAGTGATTCATAGCAACAAGGTAATAATAGAAATTCATTAGATTAGAAGATTGAACTCTTGGTTCTTGAACAACAAATCTCTTTGTGTGTTTCTTCTAAATCTATAATTCTATAACCTTTATGAAAATGATAATAAGATGAAAAGAATACTTTTATAAATCAAAGAACATAAAAAGCATGTAAAGCTTTTGAAGTACAAAAAGCACTAAGGTATGAAAAGCATGTCTAGCCAAAACACATAGGCAAAACTAGAAATATGAGTTCCATTAGGTTAAAAACTCGCCAAGGGCAATCTTGTAATATTGAGAGAACTTGGGCTTCAAGGCTGAGTCAACTTGTTCTTCACGCTTCATATCGATCGATGGTACATGGTGTACATCGATCGATGGAGTATCTCAATTCGTCATCCTCTTCAGAAGCGTCGTCGATCAATTACACATGATGTGTATCGATCGATATGTATCTCTAGATATCGAACTTATTGACTGATCTTTATAGTCACCTCGGGAAATCTCTCCTTTAAGTCCATAAGGGCATCTAAATCAACACTTTATTCCAAAATGCTCCTGAACCTGAAAACATACCTAATAGACTCCAAAACATATAAATATATTATAAAATCATATAAATACCATGGTCAAAAGTGGATCAAAACCATGGTATATCAACTCCCCCAGACTTAACCTTTTGCTTGTCCTCAAGCAAACACAACAGTTAGTCTTTGAAAGAAGTTTAAAAACAGCAGGGACTCAAACAAATCTTAACTTAAGATCATAACCTCTACTTTGTTGCAAGTCACATATCATATTGCTAACTACAGAAGTACATTATACCATATCCTATCTTAGCAACCAAGTTCATCTAGCCAATCAACTTAGCAATCATGTCTGTCTATCCCCTCTACTGATTTCATTTATGCATAAAATAAAAGTGAAGGCTTTACCTTGGGAGTATCGATCAAGGAACACTTGGATTCAACTCAAACAAGTTTCAAGCATTCTCATTTTGGTTTCTTTTCTCCCTATATCCCCCTTCTCTGAATCTCAAACTTCTTTTTTCTTTTATATCAATCCCAATGAACAACATATGTTCATCTTATTGATCTTCTACTACTCTTTTGTAGTATTTTCTGACAAAGTGTAGGCGAATAGTGGGGTCATAGGTAATGTACCTCTCCCTCGCTTCCACAATGTGTGATCATTCCTTTGAATTAGAATAGTGGGGTCATGGGTAATGTACCTCTCCCTCTGCCTCTCAGAAAATCATCTCAATCTTTTATTTTTCTCTTTAGGGATGCCAAAGGGAGGAGAGAAAGAAACCAAAATTATCAAGACTTTTACCTTCTAGGCTTGTAGGAGGATTCCGATCCCTTGTATACCAAGCCCCAAGACAAGCAATAGATGTCATGTTAGGTTGGAAATCATCTTTGGTTCTTCCAAACAATCATGAAAAGTGTTGTCAGGTTAGATAAAAAGTAAAAAAAAAAAAAAAATTTGTCCCTTTAATGAGATCAAAAAGGTAAAGTAGCATCAGTAATCTTCACTCCCCCAGACTTAAATATACACTGTCCTCAATGTATAACCAGTCGGAGTTAGTGCATAAATAAATAAAGTACAATTGATATCGAAAATTGTGAACGATATACTTGACCGATGTTTGTATCGATCGATGGTGAGTCACTTCCATCGATCGTCATGGATTGGTTTGTATCGATCGATGCCGATAGTATCTTATCGGTCGATGGTGGTAGTGATTGTGTATCATCTGAAATAAAATAAAACGAAAGTAATAAGTAAAAATAAAATAAAACTAAGGAAGAAAATACCTAATAGTGGGTTGCCTCCCACTCAGCGCTTAGTTAAAGTCAATTAGCTTGACTATGGAGGTATTGTGGCTAGTGAGGTGAATTGCAGGTACTTGTTGGGAAACAAGTATCCTCCTTGTCTTGTGATTCTTCAAACCATGAAGTTAAGAAGCTTCTTGTGGCTTTCTCGCTTAATCCTTGGACCTCATAGTGGATTCTCTGTAACCACTCCTTAATGCGTGCTATGCTGAACTCATGTTGTCCAATCTTGCTGTAGGTGTGTTCTAGATCAATACTCAGCTGCATTGTGTCGAGGTTTTGGATGTTTTGCACATGGGAAGAGATAGTATCGACCGATCTCGGTGCAGGTCTGTCGGTCGATGTGGATGGATGTCCATCGGTCGATGGGTTCATAGGTACGTCGATCAATGCGGATGGTGCAGGTCGGTTGGCGAGCTGTCTCTGAATGTTTTCTATCTCCTTCTGAATTCCTTTTGTTGTGCATTCCAATCTTTGAACGTCACTCTGTTTTGGGAACCACATCTTGTTGAGTAATCTATATGCTTCGTCTCCACAGGCTTCAATAGATTTGTAGATATCTCTTGTGATGTCCTCAATTTCTTCCCTGGTACAGAAATCTGGTGCTGGAGTATTGGTCGATGGAAATGGAGGGTCATCGATCGATAGCTCTTGTAGGTGACTCTCGATAGGCTTGTCGTTGGTCGTGTCGATCGATGTTGTTGAGGCTGTATCGGTCGATTTGCGCTTCTGAGCGTCTAGTTCTTCGCGAAGTGCATGTACTACTTCTTGCAGGGCTTTCCTCTCTTTACGAGCTAAGTCATTGCCAGTCTTATTCCAATGTAGTTCTCCTTGAAGTGATGCTATGGCTTTTTCATGTTCAGACCTCAGGGTAGCCATCTCCCAGTTATGTTCACCAACTCTTCCATTGATCATGTATGTGACCTCTGCTCGTGTGTAGAGCTTGCAAACTGGATCTTCTTTAGCAAACTGTTCAGCGTGCTCTGGTAAACAGAAACAAGAGCGCTCAAATAGTGAGGCTCTATTCAGCAGCTTCCCAATATCTTCTTTGGAAACATGGAAGATGTCTCCAGCTACGCTTCTTGCAAAACCATTCTCATCTATGTAGACACCATATTCGTCTTTCTTTTCCCATGAGAACTGACGAATCCCGGATCTGAAGGCTCGTTTCCCAAGTTCTCGATGTATATCGGTCGATGTGATTCTCCACATATCGATCGATGGGTGTTGAAATTCTGGATAGGCGGAACTTGTCATTTTGAAGAATGTCTGAAACTTCTGTTTTGGAGATTTGAATGATTCTTCCATCAATTGCTCGTGCATGGCCGTCTGGATCCTTGAAAATACCAAAATCATCCGGAATTAGTAATGTAAAATCGAAATTATGTGTTTGTACCTCGGATGGTGTAGTGGTAGGATCGGTTGATGGGGTGGCATGGGCATCGGTCGATAGTC